TGAACACATCTAATCCTAAAGGGATCACAGGTGTGATGGGGAGTGGCAGGCAGACAGTGAGAGGGGAGAAGTCCAGTTTTATTCCAATGCATGTATCACCTGCATCTTTTCCAATGAGAATCTATTATTTCATATTAAAAAAAAAAGGAAACAACAACAAAAAAGCGCCTTTTCCGTTAAGACAATGTACTTATCAACACATGATGCATTATATTATATTGATCTGCTTCTGAAAAGCATTCTGTTAGGCTTTCATTTTAAAAACACTGTAAGAATGTGAAAGTAAATCCCAAACTTCTGCAGGATGAATTGAAAGAATTAGGTCATAACTGAAAACAGATTTTTAAACAAATTTTTGATGCTGTGCAGTATTTTATTGTGCCAGCAGTCGTAAATTAAACAAAACGATGAGGCATTTAAAAAGACATTTGAAACCCCATAATGGTTTTAATTGTCACTAACCTAAAACGGCATGTTTACTTAAAACCCCCAGATGATTCTTTACCTTCCTCTGGGGCTCTTAGGAAAAGAACCGCTGGGATACACTCGCTGATTCACTCACAGGCCAGGATGGCACCCGACCCTGGATGTGGCCTTGTTCCTTGTGGGGCTCTGTCAAGTAGGGAATGATAGGAAATGCCAGTACTCGGAGGAAAACTGACGGGATGCCAAGAGAACAACAGCAGCTGGGAGCCTCTCCGACAAGGGGATGGAGGGAGGCCCTTCCCTGGAGGTACTGACAGAAGCTGGGACCTGGGACCCTTTGCTACAGTGCTTGCACCTGGACAAACGTCTCTTTGAGCAACAAAATATAAAGAAACTATATGGGACTAAAAATAACTGCGTGCATGTGCAGCTGGGGCAAATTCTGGACAACAAGATACAAAGAGACCAAAAAGCCCAATTGTCACTTCTGAAGGGTCAGGCGCAAAAGCCCATGTAAGGAGCCAGTTCACCAGCCTCTCAGGGAGCGAGTTAGCAATGGAACTTATTACTTGTTCTCCCTTCCCCTGCTGCAGCAGGGGCCCCAATAAAGCTTGCCTGAATTCCTTGTCTGGCCTCTGATCGATTTTGATTAAGGAGGCCAAGAACCCTGGTCAATAACTGTACCACCTACTCTGGAATCCCCCAGCAGGAGCAAAAGCCACTCAGTATTTGTTGAGTTATGAATGTGCACAAAGGGTCATCTTCTCTGCCATGTTTATTTTAGCAAAGGACTAGAAACATCCCTAACTGATCCTTCATTAAGTGGTGGTTAAACAAATTATCATCCATCCATCCATCCGTCTGTCTGTCCATCTATCCACTTATCCATCCATCCATCCATCCATCCAACCATCCATCTGTCCATCTACCCAGGGCTCTCTATTTAACAGCTGGAAAGGGCTCCAAGGGCTGATGTACAAATGTCACCAAGCCACAGGGTTGGCTGACAAAAGGGATGTGAATAACGGTAGGCAGAAGAGATGTGTGTAAGAATGGTAACACAACACTAATATGCACAGAAAATATCTGGCTACCAAAAACTTTCTGAAGGGGATGCTAGGAGTGTGGAATTGAAAAGAGACCTCATAATTATAATAACTTATATATAATAAATTATTATGTCGGGCTTCCCTGGTGGCGCAGTGGTTGAGAGTCCGCCTGCCGATGCCGGGGACACGGGGTCGTGCCCCGGTCCGGGAAGATCCCACATGCCGCGGGGCGGCTGGGCCCGTGAGCCATAACCGCTGAGCCTGCGCGTCCGGAGCCTGTGCTCCGCAGTGGGAGAGGCCACAACAGTGAGAGGCCCGCATACCGCAAAAAAAAAAAAAAAATTTATTTTTTGGGCTTCCCTGGTGGCACAGTGGTTGAGAGTCCGCCTGACGATGCAGGGGACATGGGTTCGTGCCCCGGTCCGGGAAGATCCCACATGCCGCAGAGTGGCTGGGCCCGTGAGCCATGGCCGCTGAGCCTGCGCGTCTGGAGCCTGTGCTCCGCAACGGGAGAGGCCACAACAGTGAGAGGCCCGCGTACCGCAAAAAAAAAAAATTATTATGTATAATAAAAATTAGTTAATTTTTAATTATGCAGAGGAAAAAGACACACAGATATGGAAATGTACTAGATACACTAAAGAAAAACAAAAACTGCACTGAAGGATTTATAAAAATAATTTGGATAAAACCAAAGCATGCACAATGTGCCTGAAAGGGAAAACATGATGTTGTCAACGTGTCCATTCTCCACCAAATTAATCTATAATTTTAATATGATTCCAATTGAAATTTCAAATTGATTCCTTTGAGTCTTGAAAAAAAAATTTCAAAACTCATCTGGAAGATTAAACTTTTAAAAACAGGCAAGAACTTTTTTAAGAAGTAGATTCAAGTCTGGGATGGGGGTGGGGTAGGGCTTGCCCTACCAGTTATAAAAATATAGAGTTAAGGTAATAAAAGTGGTGCTGTTCTGTGTATAGCACAGGGGATACAGCCAACATTTTATAATAACTGCAAATGGAGTATAATCTGTAAAAACATTGAATCATTATGTTGTATAGCTGAAACTAATATAATACTGTAAATCAACTACACTTCAATTTCTTAAAAGGTAGTATTGTTCTGGAATATGAATAAACAGACACGGGAATGGGACAGAATGAAAAGTCCAGAGATAGGCAAATAGTCACATCTGTATGTGTGTGTGCATACCTATGATAATGCTGTCAGAGTAGATACCGGCTCTCTTTTTGACTATCCAGCATACATTCCCGCCTTCCTTCCCTCAACCCTTCCTAACAGTACCTTAGTTTGGAGGATTATCTCTTGGATTCCACTGGTGGGACAGCTAAACAGATTTTTTCTTACCTGGGCCAATCAAAATGCTCCCTCCCTGGACTCTGACTCTAGGACCAACGGACAAAGAGGTTAAGAACCACGGGAACTGTTCACTCCTGCAGAACTGCATCCTGAGGAGTTCAGGGTTCCCGCTGCAGACCCCCCACTCTGGGTCAGGCTTTTGCAGCCACAGAAGCTCTTTTGGAACCAGCCAGTTTCCAGGCTTAATCTCTAACCCCTTGGATATTCAATAGGTCCCACCATCTCTCTAATAAATGGCCTTTGGCTTTGTCCGTTTTTGTAACTTGCTACCAAAGGACTCAATGTTCAGGTGGCATTTCATATCATCAGGGAAATATTAGGTTACTCAGGAAATAGTTTTAGGAAAGCTAGCTACCCATTTTAGAGGAAAAGGTTAAATGCATCAAATAAATTCAAGGATATTAAAGTTAATTATAAAAAAAAAAAAAAAAGCACACCAGGGGAAATTATTGGGGTAACATGATCTTAGGAAGGAAAAGGTCTTTTTATTGGTTCCAAGGTAAGACCACAAAGGAAAACTTTAACAGCTTTGAATACACAAAAATTAAAAATTTTTCTATGTGAAAAAATAAAGGGCAAATAACAATCCAGAAATATACCTGACCATATAATCTGCAGGACTCAAAACCATGATATACAAAGAGCTCTTGCAAATAAATAACTGTTAAATCTAAAAATGGCTAAAGGTCCCAGTCAAATCACAGAAGAAAAAGAAATATAAATGGTGCATATATAAATATATAAAATATATGTAATATGTAAATATAAAATTGCATATAATTATATATAATTACATAATTACATCTTTCCCATCCTTTCATGCAGCATACAGTATAGGGAAACAGGGTCTGAGATTAATACCAGGAGAAGTCAACCTTTCAAGACTGGGCACTTGCCTTTCTTTTGGATCTGGACCTCCAGGCACTGTCACTTCTTGTCACCCCAGTCACTCTGTCTTGGAACATTGGAATCAGAGAAAAAAATGGCTAATCCTGTGTAGATTGCCAGATTTTACCATATTCACCACATTTAGTACTTAGGAAAAGAGAGGCTACCAAGTTACGAACAGAAGTCAGCAAGTCGCCCCTTCTGTTGGTGATGGGGCTCCAGGTTGTGTCAGCTCTTGGTAGTCCTGGGGAAATGCTGCACTACAGCGAGGATACTCTGTGTATATCATATTGGGATGAAATATGATCAGTGTGAGCTCGCCCACACTGAACAGAAAATAACAAGACTAAGCTCTCAGTTTTGGGGACTCAGTAGGTGTTTCAGCACTCAGCCTGCACCTTACACTAGACTTGCTGGCCTTGGTAGATGGGGAATGTAAAGGGCAGCAGCTCCCCTTTGAACCCGATGGCATGGCTACAAGAAATGTAGGCACTGCCCTGCTACAGAAAAGCTTCAGGTAGTTCAGCATAGCCCCTGACCTCTCAGACATCACGGCCACAGGTTGGCAAGTACATGGGCCGCTATGAGGGGCATGGCTCTAAAAGGTAGCCTTGTGCCTTCTCTAAGTTAAAGAAACAAACATCAGCACCCCCATACCCAGCAGCCAGGGTCACATCAGGGGTCACACTGCACCTGTACTGAATGTCATGGGACACACTCTGATTTCTGCACCAGCCACACGCATATGTTACCGAAGCAGGAGCCAAGTTATGATAAGGAATGATGGTTACATTCAACAAACCAAAATGACCCCCTACCATGTCCATAGCACACCACCTACGGTTTTCCTAGATTGAAAAGACAGTTCTCTTTTTTAACTGAAAAATGAGAACTAAATTGTTTGGATGCACTCATTATCAAGCTTGTATGTATCTCGGCACTTAAAATCGACTTACAAAATTGATTTTTAAAAATTCAGTGGAGACAAAAATCAATGCAACAAATATTAAAATAAAATCGTTACTAAAGACATTTATTTTAAAATAGCGTTATACTAATATACTACTAGTAACTGACTGACGAGTAGAACAAGCTTTAATTTGGGAGAATTTTTAAAAAATAAATCAACGTTAATTCCTTAACACTAAAACATCAGAATAAATCCAAGGATACAATAAAATTATTTTTGAAATCACTTTCATTCAAAATCAAAGCCTATGCCCTTTATCAAAAGGTCTGCATTTCATTACTCACCAACTGACAGCCTTCTAGGGAGTTGACTAGCTGAGCGTTCTGACAGGAGAGAATTGAACCAGCCAAATTCAGCATTACACATACTGCAGAGAGCAGCATGAAAAAGGTAATCTGGAAACAAACCAAACAAGAAATTGATTATTCACTTGGAGAGATTCGAAGGAAAAATTATTTGGCTTTCAAAAAGCTTTCAGATGATCCAGTAATTATATGAATAACATTTCTATGTTTTCAAGGAAAGCATTATTTATTAAAATTTCAAATTCATATTACCTTAAATCAAATAAAAAAGGTAAAGTCTCTGAAAAGCCATAGCCACAACCATGATTTTATTTGAAATATATTGTAAAATATTTTAGAAGCTAAACTTGAAAATACTATGCATTCTGCAGTCCCAAAATAGTGTTATATAGCCTCAGAAATAACAAGTAATAAATTACTAAAAAAAAATCAAGTGAAAGAAGTTTATTAGAACGCCTTTATTTCTTTTAATTTTTGTTATGGAAAATTTCATACATATGCAAAACCAGAGAAAACAGTATAACAACACCCCGCATACCCATCTCCCAACCTGTAAATGTACTCCATATTTATTGAAAAAAATCTGCATGTAAGTGGACCATGCAGTTCAAACCTGTGTTGTTCAAGGGTCAACTGTATATATTATTCATATATTAAACATTATATTGTATTAACTAGACAACGGCACAATAGCCGCAAACTCGACACCTCTGGGAAGGGTGAAAAGATACAAGGGCTTGATCTGGTCTGTAATGTTTTCTACTTTAAAATTTGAAACAAAATAGTAATCTACTGATGGTAAATTATTAACATCTCTACAAGAAAAGTGTGGGAAAAACATGTGCCTCAGATATAACTGACACTGCATAGTGCATAATGATATTTTCCGCCCCATACAGATGAAAATCCCAGCATTAGAACACCCCAGAGGGGAAAGTGGTCACTGAGTAAGCAGAATGCTTAGCCAGAAGGTAATTCATACACTGAAATAAATGCAAACCAATAAACGCCTTTAAGGACCAACTATATTCACTGATAAAATAAATGCAAATTCCAGTTCAACAGAATAAAGTAAAACCCAGTCATCTAACCCATTGCTCCACACCACCACATACCCACCAGATTCTTCTAGATGACTCTAGTCCAGGGTTGATCAATCCACATTTTTCTTTTTTTAAGTATTTATCTCATTTGATGATTAATTTGCAGTACTTTCCCCCCAAACAATCATACTTATTCACCTGCTGAATAATTAACAGTTGAACCTCTGTATATAAACAGCATTTTGCCAGAGGCTATGGAGAAATACAATGAAAGGCCACTATACCAGCTTTTCTTCAGGCTCATTTAATCCATACAACAAACTATGATATAATTATTGTTTTTCCCATTTTACACATAAAGAAATTGAGATTGAGGGAACTTAAAACCTATGCCAAATCACCATGTTGCCATAGCATGAGCTGTAATTTGAATTCAGTCTGTCAGACAACCTCGGAACCCCATACGCTATTCACTACACTACAGAGACCTCTCCAACCTGGGGTAAATCTTACTTTCTGCTCTTACTGTTTACATGGGCTCTACTCACCATATACCATGAGTTATGTTTTTCCATAAAACCATACAAGAGAGTCAGACTAGAATAGTCATACTTTGAACCAGTAATTCCAATTCGAGGAATGATTTAGAACAAGATAATGAAAGAAAACCTTAAAAAAAATTTTTTAACTACTCCAGACCAAGAATAAACAAATTTAAACAAATTTTAAGGAACAAAGTAACAACTAAAATCCCCCACAGCCCCGGACTGTGCCAAGATCTCTAGGTATACTTCCCTATCTAATTATCACACTACCACACACAACAACATGCATCATCAACCCATTTTACAGGTGAGGAAAGGTCTGTATACAACCTAACCTGCTTAAATTCCTACAGCCAGTTACGCAGAGGGAGGCTCTGATCCCACGTAGTCTGATTCTCAAGTAGGTATGGTTAATCATTAACACTTTTCTGTGACCCACAGAAACATATTTTATATCATGATCCAAGATGCACACACACATAAAAATAAAGCAACTTCCACAAAACACTATTTACCTGAATGATACGTGGTAAAAATTATTTTTCTTTTTTTGTTAAGATGCTGTTTTTCAGTCGTGAAATCTTCTCATGACTTACGGTTAAAATAAGTGCACAATGATTACTTGCTTCAAAAATACAGTGTTTATTATAACTATAGTAGCAAAAAAAACAAAAATCAAAAACCAAAAAGAAAAAACGGAAAAAAAAGGAACTAAATAGTCAGCCACACAAAAAATTATCTGGAAAAAATACAATGCATACATTGCTTAGAATGACTCATAACACTTATAAACATGGGAAATATATTTTTAAAATAGCTATGCTAAGATAAATAGAGATATAGGCAGTTACATTTTAGCTTTCAATTTACAGACTTTTATTTTTCCTTACAGAGTTGAGTAGTCCAGAGGCCAGACAAGAGCCACTTCGTTTTACTTCCCTGGTATGAAAGCAACTTACTGACGTGTTTTTTCTTTTAAATGTCTATTTCCATAACATGGTACAAAACTTTCCAATTCGCTTTATAAAGCTAGCAAGATTTTTATACCAATAAAAAAAAACACAGTAAGACAAGCCAAAACAAAATAGACCATCCCCTAATAATTTTATAAATGAAAATTCGGAACCAAAGTGACTTATAATATATCACAAGAAGAAAAGATTGCAAACACATCCTAAAACTACTACACACATTTAAGGGTTACAGCAAGATGCTCCCTCCCACCCCCAGCCCTTCCCCGGGGTCTCTCCGAGTCTGTCTCAGGTTTCAAGAGGAAGGGGCTGGGGTTGGGGCCGTGCCCCCGGTCTGGGGTCTGGCCCTGGCCTCCTCCTCCGCCAAAGCCTCACAGTACTGCGCCGGCCAGTCCTTGGGATCCTGATTGTGGACTTTGGCCACGAACTTGAGCACCTTCATCTTGCTGGTCTCCAGGTTGGTGCGCGGGCCCCACTGGAGCTCGTAGTCCACGGGGTCCGTGTGCGGGATGCGCCGGTACTCCAAGTACCGCTGCCGCACGAAGTCCTCGGTGATGAGCTTCTTCGGGTCCCCGAAGATGAGGTGCTTCTTGGTGGGGTGCACCCCGAGGCGTCGCAGGAAGTCCCAGACCTCGGTCTCCTTGATGCTGTTGCCCTTCATGAAGATGAGCCCCAACACGATCATGAGCAGCCCGGTAGTGGGAGTGCCCTGGTCGCCGCGCATCTCCGCGTCCTCCTCCACCGGCTCCAGCGTGTTGACCAGGATGTAGGTGTTACTCCGGGGCTCCAGCTCCACCAGCCGGTACCCGAACACGTACTCCAGGCGCTCGGCCGCCCGCTGCAGCAGTTCCGGGAGCACGTCCCTGTAGTCCCCGACCACGTGCCGCAGGATGTCGGTGCGACGGATCGGGATCTTCCTCTGGTCCTTGATCAGCAAGAACTGCACCAGCTCCGCCACCTTCAGCTCCAGCTGCTTCTGCGACCGCGGTCCCGGCGTGGGGGGAGCCTCGGCCCGCCGGCCGCCCTGCGACGCGGCGCCGCCCGGCCCGCGGGACGTGCTCGGGGCCTCCTCGCCGCCGCTGCCCCGCTCGGCCTGGGCGCCGGCGCGGCCCCGGCTCTTTGGCTTTTGCGACATGTCCCAGCGGCGGGACCCGCGCTACGCGGACACCCCGTAACTAGCGGCTGAGGGGATAAGGGTTTACGCGCAGCTCCTCCTGGCGGCCCTGGGCGGGGCCGGAGGCGGCGCGGTTGCGTCACAGAGGCTGCGCGCTGCGTCAGGGGGCTGCGCGGTTGCGTCACGGAGGCTGCGCGCTACGTCATCGAGGCCGCGCCGCGTCTGGGGGTCGGTCTGGTTCGGCCGGCGGTTGCGCGGTGGCGGCGTCTCCGCGCAACCCTGCGGGTCCTAGCCGTGTGTTTTTTTAGAATTAAGTGTCGTCCTTACCAAACCCTGAAGATAGAGAACAGGAAGCAAAGGTCCTGAGCGAGTGTGCAGCTCAGCTCAGGACCGCACAGCTCAGGCCAGATCCGTAGAAACTGAGTATCGAGAACTCTGAAATCGGGACTGTTTGTAGGTGGAGACTCCCAGGAAGAACGTGGGAGAAAAATAAGGCTAAGAACGTGGAAGGGAAGTAAAAGCATTTCTTTCCCCACAAAACTGGGCATAAAAAAGATAAAAGACCCTGAGGACTAGTTTGCCGTCGCCAGCCGCCCCCCCCCCCCCC